CAGTTGCAAACTTGTGTGGTGCAAGTTGTGAGAATTTGCTTGCAAGGTGTATTGAGATTATTGTCAAATCTGATGTTGATAACGTAACCCTTGATAAAGCGTTGCTCACCACCTTGTGAAACAAATAGATGATTCACGTATGGAACTCGGCTTGCAATCACCTCAAAGCAACATTTTTCCTGATAAACACGTGAAGAGAATACACAGAGCCTTGGACTCTGATGATGTTGAGTTAGTCAGAATGTTGCTGAAGGAAGGGCATACTACCCTAGATGATGCATATGCACTCCATTATGTTGTTGCCTACTGCGACGCAAAGATCACAACAGAACTTCTCGACCTATCCATTTCTGACATTAACCATAGAAATCCAAGGGAATACACTGTGCTACATGTAGCGACAATGCGAAAAGAGCCCAAAATCATTGTATCTCTTTTAACTAAGGGAGCTAGGCCATCTGATCTCACTTTAGATGGCAGGAAAGCCCTTCAGATCTCAAAGAGGCTTACTCGGGCTGTGGATTATCATAAAAGTACAGAGGAAGGGACAGCTACTCCAAAGGATCGACTGTGCATAGAGATTTTGGAACAAGCAGAAAGAAGAGATCCATTACTAGGAGAAGCTTCAGTATCGCTTGCTATTGCAGGCGATGATTTGCGCTCAAAGTTATTGTACCTTGAAAATAGAGGTAAATTAGCCCAGGGCTTTAATTTTTTGTACAGTTCATCTTTTTGACCTATTTTGTTACTTTTATCTGAATGGCCACCTCCAGATCAGCTCTTGATCTCCTCGTAGCACTGTTGAAAAAGATGTTGGGATTTTTAGTGTATCTTGTAGTTCCATCCATATCATCATTTATTTGTAGTGTTGGGTCCTTGAAATTTGTAGTTCCATCCATACAATTAATCATCCAGAGAAGGACTTGTTTTGATATATGAACCACAGTCTGTTCTCACACATTGATCAATCATTTCTCATCTTCCTCCAGAAAGCGTTGATAATATTTTTGTTAT